CACATAGCATTCAAGTGAACATATCTTTCACTATAAAAAGAGAACGCGCTATCGTCTTCTTTTGCATTCAGCTCGCAAATTCCGCTGAAGTTTTCGCTTACCATTCCCCGTCTTCAGTTTTCATGTCATAAGCTGTCCCACCTTCTCGTACGGAACAATTCTATTTGCGTAATCGCCTCAGAACAGCGCTTTTGAGCACTTTTACTGATGTTTTTCCCTGATCTAAATTTCAATTCGTTATTTATCTATCCCAATGGGTCCCGAAACATACAAACTATTACAACCGTAGTACAGCGCTGCATTTTGCCAGCCAAAGTTTGGAGGAAGCACAGAATGGGTCCTGTCACGATGGATAGCTGCGGTTGACGTCGCAAGCCATTGCGAACTCATGCACATCATCCCAATTTTTGCATGCTTCGGTTTGAAATAGACTGTGTTGAAGGCATAACGCAATTTCTTGTTTTTATCGTAATCATCCATCTCCAACAATGTTGGCTTATAGTTTCTCATCTTTACCACCCACAGTCTAGATTGCCTCATTTTTGACTGTGTCTTCTGTGTCTAACAAAAGTGAAGTATTTTGCAATGATGAACCACTATTGTTCATCACACCATGTGACGCCAATTGCGAAATGAAATCTGTTCCATCGTGTCTATTTTTTCTGTAATGTGCAGTTCTGGCAGCTGTTTTCATGAAATTATGAGTAAATTTATTTGCAGTATGAACTGTGCAGAAAGATAGCTGGTATCAAGGTCTTTTGTGTTTGTTATTTAGCAAGACATATTGTGAGGGAAACTCATTGATCTTGTTCATCCACATGACTTGGTCGTTTAAATTTTTGTCTATCCATCCACTAGCATGCCCAATGTTTTAAACGAGGCAGCCGTCATTCTCCTGGCAACTTATACGGAAATAACCTCTCTGCCTATTTTTTTCTACTTCTTGTAGGCGGCGGGGGGGGGGGGGGGAGGGAGGTCGGTGCACGCATCATTGCCATCGCAAGAACACTAGCTATTTGTAAAGTCTATTGATGGCTAGCCATCTCATTCATTAAAGTTTTGTCTTGACTTTAGAGAGAGTTTTCTTCTGCTGTAATTTAGGTTTCCGGGTTTTTATTTTGCGTGAACGCCCACATACACTGCTTATGCTAATAAGTTGAAAGAAGAGGAAGCTTTGTTTTGTTAATTCACATAGAGCTGCTTCTGACAGCTGCTTCTCAGTAAACGCTGATTGAGTGGACGCTAGTAGCATTTGTCATACCTAGTAGCAAGTCTTTCGTGCAGTAAGATCTGCATTACTTATAAGTTATCTATCTTTCTCTTATCTCGTCATTTTTAGGCTATCTCAAAACACTGCTATGTTAATTTCTCTGATTTTGAACTGCCTCCTGTGACTTTTTCGTACTGCCGTTAAGTGCTTTTCCAGTGAGATCATGCTACCCAGGGTTTCTTCAAAAGCCTTCATTTTGAAGTATCGAAAAAAGTTAGGCTGTAATTGGAGCTCTAATGGTGTCCTTGTGGAAATTCTAGAATGCAAACATCGAAATGTTTTCCAGCACCTGGAGTCGATTAAAAGCAGGGTCTCAGCGTTTTCGTTTTTCATACTCATTTTTCTTTCTTCTTTTTAGATAAATTAGCAGCTGTGCCTTGTCTCTTCTGAACACATTGTTTTTTGGCCTTTTATTAGCAAGGACCTTCTGTGTGTTTTTTTGTAATCTGCGATGTGCAATTTTGAAATGATAGATTTTCCAACATCTCAGGTAATCGCAGAAATTCTTGACACAGCATATCCACTGAAGAATTTTGATAGATTTTGATACATGCTAAATACATGATGCAAGCATAAATCTCTGAATAGAGTGTTTGAAGCTTCCCCAGTACAGGAAAAAGCTCCATGAGTTTGAACCTTTGTATTTTTGTAACCTTTGATTCACGGCCATCGGGATATACTGATGTGAAAGGATTTCAAGTTACAGTGAAGACGCCACGCCAAAATTGATCATATAAGCTAGTAAGTTTTCTCTTTAACCAGCCTTTCATGTTTTGTTCCAGTTTGTATGCATACTACAAGTTTGTATTTCAAGTAGTTTTTTGGACAACTATTGCTTAGGATATGCTTACGGTTTTTTTTTTCAACAAATGTTTGATCCAAGAGCGCTCATAGGTGCGTCCATGTTTTTCAAGGTCCAGAACAGGCTGGGAAAGTGTGCATCACCCCTTGGCTATGCTTCCAAACAAAGCTTATGCTACTGAAAGTGAACGCTACCAAGGTGGACTTTTTGGCCTTTCTCCTCCCAGATCGCACGGTCTTCCTACAGTATTTGATAGTAGTTTTCTCTTCAAGTGCTGTCTTTGTTTGTGTTGCTGCCCTACGTTGGCATCTATTTGACGGACAAGTACTGGTTTTTGCAACCTTTCATGGTCGTTTCGCTCGATGTCTCTTATCATAGTGCGTGCGGTGCCGAGTGCAACGCAAAGCTTGTGTAGATGTTAGCCAATCGATAATCGTAACATTCTCTTGTCTGTGGGGGACTAGCGGACAAAACAAGTCCGTTAGTTCATCAGAATCCCGGTAGTGAAGCCATTTCGGCGTCGTCGTCGTCGTCGTCGTCGTCGTTGGCGGCTAATACGCTAATACGCAATCAATGGACCGTCGGCCCCTTCCTCCGCCGCCGCCGCCACACACACACGTCAAGTGTGCGAGCGGGACGAGACTCCCCGCCGTAAAGGTGAGCATATTATTGACTCGAGAGCCTCATTGCGAGCTTTGCTTTTGATTAGCAACGTCTCGATTCCAGTGCTGAAGTTTTTCAAAAACTTCCGTTAGCCTAACTTTTCTATATACGAATAATCACTTGCATGCAGATGGAGCAGTCGGGTGCCTGCCATGCAGCGTTATCATCCATATTAGTGTGGCTGGAGATAGCGGCTCGATAAGCTAAGTAGTTTTATTGTCCTGTAATAATGTTGACTTCACTCCTGAACACGGAATTGAAGCAATCAAAAAAGTGTTGCCGATTATCTTGTCAGATTTCTTCTTGCTCCGTCTGAATCTCCTTTCTCTAGATAAGAATTTTTTCATAAGTCTGAAGAAGAAGAAAAACGCAACGAAGTAACTGGCTATGTTGTTAATAAGGAGAAAGTCTCCTTTTCACTTGTCTTTTGATAAGATGAGTATCTGATTGTGTCAGACTTAGACTTAAATTTTTATCAGAAATTTTGCTCAGTTAACAGTTATCAAATATTTCAGACCGGCTACATACCGTAATCTGACTTTGCAGTTTTTTTCCTATCATCGACAACTACGATTCCCACTATAAAAGTCTTATGTCTCAGAATTGCCCTTCTTTCGATAGCTAAAATTTTCTCACTGGTTAAACCAAGGCCTGGTACACATAGAGAGAAACATGATAGTGCTTCAGCCATTTTTGAATTGGTGGATGCATGACTCTCCTGAATAGATCTGCCATAGAGGTGGCGATGATCGACAGTTGCTGTCACGTGTGTATTCAGGTGATGTCTTACATGTGTAATGATTGATTTTGTTCTCGTATTGCTTTTGTTCATAATTTTGCTGGCTTTTCGAGCGAAGGCAAGTTTGGAATCTTGCCTCAATTCTTTTGATCTTCTTGCCGTTATGGCAGTTTTTCTTTTGTGGGCCCGCCGAGCATTTATGGTCTTTTTTGGGCTTGCATTGATAATCTGATCTGTTTTCAATGCTATATATCGTCGTAGCATTCATTCTATCTCTATTGCTTCTTTTACATCTGATGATAGCGCTATTTGGAAAAGCGTGGGATAGCATAAATTACGATTTAATGCTTCGGGCGCCGTTGCTTTTCACCGACATATCACTATCATTTTTGAATGTCTTTTCGCGATGTGCTTGGTCTCTGTATAGAATCATTGAGTTGACGGTCGTCCATTTCTTGCCGTACGACCTACCGTTTTCCATGACTATCCTGCATTCATATTTTTGTCGGAAGCATTCGCTTGGAAAGCCTGTTATGCTGTCTCTTTTTTCTGAAGATGCCGTTTCTGTTTCTGGAATCTATCCTTGGCGAGTTGCCAGTGTCTATCAATTGCTTGGCGTTCTTTTGACTATTCTCGAAAATCAAGTTTCAAAACTGATTCATGCGAATGTATTGAATGCTATGCATTACTGAAAGAAGAATGCTCTACATCAATCATGCATGGACTTTGCGAAGAATGTTTGTTGTTATGCGAGCTTCTCGCATTGATCGTTAGTGATTTCACTTTTGCTTGTTCATATGGCTTTGGAGATGCGCATACTTATATCCAATCAATAAAGTAGTTCATAAGTATTGAACTGTAACTCTGATCCTGTTAGATTTTCATGGCTTTTTATCTGTCTGAATGACTGTCCAACCTGGCTTTTTCCCGTTGCATATTTTTTCCACATATTGTTTGTAGTGATTTTGATGACAAACCCGCTGGAAGCTTTGCCTTTTTTTGTAATGGAACGAAAGAAGCGCCTAACAACATGAGCCACAAATCTTCGTTACATCACAATCGTTTTGATTTCTAAAAATTTCACATTTGACGAGTGCTGAATGAAAGTCCGTACAATACCCTGCCATGACTAATTGCAAAGTTCACATGATTCATTTCACCTTTTATCATTGTCTCATCTTGATCCTACCCAGAGTGGCTTGATCTTATCACTTTTCGTGCTCAAATTTCATGCTACAGTATGAATCATAACTACCTATTAATCTAGAAATCCGCCATCCCTCATCTCGTTGGAGTTATGTGCATCCATTCGCTACGTCAAACGTTGTAAATCGCACCGTTTGGCACGGTTATCACACATGTCTCGCTCGCTAGGACTCATGTTCTCGTTTCAATATGAGACGCGAGAAGATATCCGCAATTTTCTTCGTCCTGTCATTTCTTCCGTTTGTGTGTGCGTTCGTTCGTCAGCTGTTTCAGTGCAGTCATTTCTTCGCTGGCCTCCATCGACGCTATCTATCCCTCGAAGAGCGAATGTGTGTGTATTGCAGGCTGGTGTCCGATTGTATTGCGAGAGACCGGGAGTGTTATGCGGTAGAGCGCCTCAACACACGGGCCTTAACTTTATCATCAACGTCGTCCACGAATTCCAATGGCCTCTACTTCCTCCGGGCAAGGTATGCGCAAAATCAGTGTTATGTACCTTGGCTTTTCTTTTTTCAACTACTCTTTAACTTGCAACGGATTCTTTTTTTTTCTGATTCAAAGCATTTGAAAGTATATCATGACTTTTATAATTCAAATAGTTCAAAACCGTCCACCCATTATATATAGATTTTGATTTAGCCCGTCGTACTTTACATTTTTCTTATTTATGCTTGTGCGCTGATCTTATTCCATGTTTTCAGCGATTGCAATGGCATAATTTTGAACTTTTTCTCACAAGTCTTTTCACTGAAATACGGTGGCTGTTACAAATTCAAACGGTTGGCGAAAGAATTATGAACATCCAATCAACATATCCTCGCTTCTGAAATTTTTTAGCTCGTCAAAATGCTAAATGGCAGGTGCATTACATTTTTTGGTAGTTTGCTGGAACTCGTTTCTTGTTGGCAGCCGCACTATTCATGCCTATTAATAATCATGATTCCCAATAACCCCGTTTACCTTTGTCGTGTAGCAATACGTTTTACGGCAAAATTCTACTTTTCTGTCCGGAGGTTTCTTTTTGATCCAGAACAAACTCTTTCAAGCGTAACTCTTTCAATTATTCATGTCTTCAACCTCTTCCTGCGCCTCTGCGTAGTCGATCTTTTTTTTTTCGTTAGAAAGCCAATGCTAGCTGTTTTTTCTTTTTGTACTAATTAGACTTCTCTAGTCAAATAACTCAATCCTTCACTTCCGTTTTCAGATACATCTGCAAATCCAAACAACTCGCAGGCTGCAAATAAGGACACGAAGCAGTACACGGAACGCGTTGTAAAAAGTAAGCCATACATTTGACTTCTTAAACATTTGTGAATACTGCTTTGTTGTCCGTTTCCTTTTGTTTTCTCTTTCGCATTTTTCATGCGCAGCGAGGCCCAAGCAGCCTCAGTGCAGCTGCAGACAAGCACGTGATCCTTATAATTCCCATCACCTACTAAGGAGTAGCAGCATAATGTTATGGGATTGGGCTTCTAAACATCCAAATGCGAGGGTTAATCAGTCCATATTTTGTCACCTGTTTTCATTTCAAATTTCAATTCTAATATATCCCAATAGTGCAATAGTTATCATTTGCATGATCATTAAATCATCATACACCATGTCTGATGATTGGTTGAAGCATATAACTTGTCATCTTAACTGCACAAAATTTTGTTCTATGTATGCCGTGTTATGCCAAACCAGGTTTTTGGTGGATCTTTATTGGACCTGACGGTTTCGACAGTCTCGTCTTCTTCAGAGGTCTTGGATCCACCGCATTTCAGTAAGCCCGCACAGGTAGTCAGTAACGGACGTTTGTTCTATATGGTCACTAGCTTTGCAATTCAAAATGCATAGTTGTTGTCGACCTAGCGTAACCGATAGATCTATGGTGTCTAAATTTTTTCTAGCAATTGTGACTCTGCAGACCTGAACTGCCTATGCAGCGAACGCCATAGAATGGTAAATGAGGCCTCGTTTGCTTTGTTTGAGCTCGCGATGCAGTTTTATGTCACTCGCTGCTGGAATCTGTCGGAGAAAACTGGATAAGTCGTCAAATAACAGAACAGAATGTGGTGAAATCATATATTTCTCTGCCTGAACGGAATTAGGTTTAGGCACGATCATTCGAGGAGTATACTATAGTATTATACTTAATCTTTTTTGAGAGCTACCATAGTGCTTCACTCGAAAAAAAGCAGAACATTAGACTTTAGGACATAATTCATCGACGAAAGTTCGCTTTGCTTTTCTTACACAAAGTTCTTTTGTGTGGCTGTCTTTCACCTAGAATAGTGTGATCTTTTTGCTGTCCCATTGCGACCATTCAGGAGAAAGAAATATTTGAATTCTATGCAACTCTCATTACAATTCACTCCAGGTTCCCTTGAAGTTCTTTCGTTATAGAAACGATCCTTCTTTGCTTCATCAGTGTCTTTGCGTCATTATGTCTCCATTGTGATTCAGCGACGGTTTTTTCTCAAAAAACTAATTATCTAACATCCTGGAATAAGTTTTTTCTTCGAGCGGACATTTGTCGAGAATCGATAGGATTCCTTCGTTCATGGTCGCCGTGTCCGGGCGATTGCCATTGCAAATTGTGCTCGAATTGAAATTGTGCTCGCATTTTCCGATTGATAGGTTGTGCAGCGACAGCGGACGGACGGACGGACAGACGCGCAGCGGCCGGGAGAGGGCTCACGGCCTCGACTGATGACGTTGCTTCTGGTGGGGGTGGATGGGGGGAGGAGGCAGAGCTCTGAGCCAGCAGCGCGGTGCCAGGAGCCAAGCTCAGGGGCTTGTGCGGCTTGTCCGGGTCGATAGGCTGGCTGACTGGCGCATGTGCAACTAGTGTATGTGCTGTTTAAACGGACATTATCCTCGCAATCACGCTCGCAGAGCGCTCGTACATCAAATGGAGTGCGAGAATTCTTCAGAGTCAGTGGCACGTTTTGCAAAGGAAAGGGTGAAATATCGTTGCTGTTGGGTTACAGATGCAGTGAAGGCTTAACGATGGCACTGGCGTCTATGGTGCGGAACACCATCAAACATCTTCCATACCAAAGCTTTGCAGTGTTGGGCCATGGCAGTTCAGGAACTACTTCTTTATCTTCATGGTCTTCAAGCCAATGTTTTCGAAATCTGTGACTCTATCGAAGGCACTTTGCTGATATGTTCAGTCCTTGTGCATTGACTGGAACTCATCCTTTTGTTATCAGTCTTATGCATTCCATTTATGAAGTGCGTATGATGCGGATGACTTTCAAGAAAGCTGTAAATTTTTGAATTCAACATGGAGATCGCGGGTTGACTAGAACGTCTTTTGAAGTAAGTGTAAAGCCGTTATTTGGTAGACCTTTAGAATCGTTCTTACTTCACAGAAATACTAAGATCAAGTTTCTGCTCTCAAAAAAGACTGATTAATTAGATTTGTCTCACATGAGTTGAAGGAAGCCTGCTTTTGGTATCCTTTGGCATATCCAAAGGCAGTTGCTTTCTTTTATCGAACGCTTATACATATCTACTGTGAAACGATTACCGATTTATCTGTCTGCCATCAGTTAGAAGCCCTTAATTAGTGCCAAAGAGTTTGCAAAATTTCCGGACTATGAGGAAGCTCGCGCCTGACATAGCACCTTTAGATTAGAGGTTCACTAGTTGCGTAATAATTTTTGCAAAATCTTGGGAGCGGCAAGAGGCACGTTGGTGAAGATGTGTGTCAGTAATTTGAGTTAATTATTTGTCTTGTCCGGCACCTTTAATCAAATGAACACCTTTCCCTCTGTTTATCACTTAGATTTTGAAGGATCTTGCTTTTGCTTTTGCATAGAATGGAGAGACGGAATAGTTCTGTCAAACTGAACTATGACATTGAGGATACCTGGAAAATAATTTGGAAAATAATAAATAAAATACCTATAAGTAAACATAAATATTGACAAGGTGACATATCATAAGCTGCTCTAACACATTCTCGCTTTATCGCTTCTTCGTGCTGCTGCGTTGATTTTTGAGCTTAGAGAAGGAGCGGCTGCTACTTGGTGCAGAGATTGTGAACTGTTTGCGTGATATAGGCAGTAATGAAAAGGAGTAGAGATTTGACTAACATTAATTCTTTCAGGTGTTCAATATCCGGTGTCGGACCGGCTAAACGTCGATCAAGTGTTCGATCGGCGGACGGGAAAGCCTCGTCATGAAGTTCTTAGAGATTACTTTATCAAGGTATGTATTAAATTACTACTCTTTTTAAAAAGTGAATTATTGTCCCCTCTTCTATATGCGATTCATTCGAAATTCTGTTTTTTCATTATGTGGTAAATTTTCAGTCTTCCTGCCAGTTTTCAAGGTTAAGACTAAAATCTTGAGAACGAGTTATTGTGCTACATGCTGGATGTTTCGGTATTTTTCGCTAGGTTCTTCCACTGGGGATCACCTTTGTGTACAAAGTGGCACTGTCTTGGGATGCCCCTTCATAAAACTTAACTTTTGAAAGAGACGAGATATCTCAGTGGAAAATGACCGGGATGGAAGTGCTGTTTATTGCAGCTGAATAATATCAGTATTTTAGGAGGGTCGTATTGAGGAGGACGCAGCAATTCGAATTATACAGGAATGTACAGCACTCTTTCGGCAAGAGAAAACTATGCTTGATATAGAAGCACCAGTGACAGTATGTGGTGACATACACGGACAATTTTACGACCTCATGAAATTATTTGAGGTACATTATCTTGCTTTCTATCAATTTGATTCATTCAAGTTGAACAATTTTGACTAAATTTTCAGGTTGGTGGCTCACCAGCTACAACCAAATACCTGTTCCTTGGTGATTATGTGGATCGAGGATACTTTTCCATCGAATGCGTTTTGTACTTATGGGCGTTGAAAATCTGCTATCCTAACACGCTGTTTCTTTTGCGAGGGAATCACGAATGTCGTCACTTGACCGAGTATTTCACATTCAAACAGGAATGTGAGTTTTCTTCATTGTTCTGTTCAGCGCTTTGTTCTTGTTATTAAAAAATTGGCTAAATTAAGCAAAATTTTCATATAATAGATTTGGTATGGCTTTCTACGACATTAGGTCTTTTCTGATGTCTCCCACAGCTGACGTTAAGCTAATCATCTTATGCAACTAATTTACGCCGGTCGTTTTCTTCCTTCTTCATGAGCGTGCGTTTGACTATGCGCATCTGCAAGGATAGCTAATAACGTTGGAAAAGGAAGCTTATTACTTGTGTCTTTCAATTACTTGTGTTAGCGTGGGGGAGGGAGGCGAAGGCATCTGAAGTCAAATGAGTTCTGGCTGGAAAAGGGAAAACACCAAAATGTTGAGGGCTTGGCTAGCACTGTGGCCAATATTTCATTCATTTTTATTGCCCAATCTTGAATTTGTGTTACTAATTCAGACATGGCATGATGTTGGCATATTGCGATTATGTCGTCGTATATGCAGTGATTAGCCTTTCCACTCTGCGTCGCCTTGACGACAGCTGCATCCTGACTACGTTTATGCGCGATTCGCTTATGAATACAATTCAGGGGTGATAGAAAATGCGGGTCATTAAATTGTACTTTAGGCTGAGTTACTGTTAAGAGCTAGTGCTTTGTTCGGAAACAGTGATAAACAAAACTTTCATCTCTTGGAATACTTTTCAAACAGGACAGATACAGGATGTCCTTACAAATGTGCAAACTATTTGATCACCGATGACCCTCTTGCTTTTGTCTCTTGCCGAGCTTGAGGTAACATTCTATAATATAAAGCGAGGTTTAGCTTACAATTAGACTTGTAATATGGAGCGAAACACAAACTGTTTTCATTACTGCAAAATTATTGTTGAACTTTCAGCACCGCCACTGTGGAATAGGCCTTTTGGTAAGAAAAAAATTCCAAAAATCTGGAAATTTGTGTAGCTAGGTTTTCAGGCATGTTAACTTCACTACACAATTTATTTTTTGAGCTTTTTATTGGTGTAATCACATTTTTGACAAACATTGGAAACACAGTTGTTACTCTAAACCTGAAATAACTCGTGAAAAAAAAGCATTACAGTGAATTGCAAACCATACTTAAAATCAGTGAGTTCGATTGCCCAGTTTAAGATCTCTGACTTGTTTGGTTTTCTTTTTGAGGCAAAATATCGCTTTCAATGACTTAAAATCCTTCTCGAAATTCCTACCGTAATCTCACAGAATCCTACAGTAACGATGAAAGATCGGAGATTTGTTCCAAGCTGCAAATCTAAATTAGGCCTCGCCCTACAGAATGGTACCTCAGTCTCGACGAATGACGTTCAAGCAAGAGAGTTATTGACGATCAATTTGTATGCACATCTTTTTGGGACACCCTGTATATTTTAGAGACCCTCAGTGATTGGTCTACTACACTACCAATTCTTCATTCCAGGTAAAATCAAATATTCGGAACGTGTATACGATTCATGCATGGATTCATTTGACGCATTGCCGTTGGCGGCTTTGATGAATCAACAGTTCCTGTGCGTGCATGGTGGCTTGTCGCCTGAGATTCACACGTTGGATGACATCAAAAGGGTGCGTGCAAAGGCTTCTTATGGGTAGCTTACCTTTCATCATCTTGATATTTATATTTTTCCAGTTGGATCGCTTCAAAGAGCCACCTGCTTTCGGCCCAATGTGCGACCTCCTTTGGTCAGATCCCCTCGAGGACTTTGGCAGTGAAAGGAACGCTGAGCAGTTCAGTCATAATTCTGTTCGCGGCTGCTCGTATTTCTATAGGTATGCCAATTGTTATAGTTTCTGAAAGTGCTGCATATCAGTGGCGTACGCCAAAATTTCTGCAGAGGACTTGTTTTTACTTGTAAATAACTAAAATAATTTTTAAAAATTTTTAAAAATTCAAATTAGCCTTGTAAAAAAATTTTTTTCGGGGCGTGGCTACCGCCACGCCCACTTTTTCTGGAATTTTGGGGTCAGGGGCCGGAAAAATTTTGGGAAACATCCCAAAAAATTTTTCGGACTGCGTGGCTAACGCCACGCACCTTCATTAGAAAAATTTTTTTTGTCGCCCCCCCCCCCCCCCTCCCCCCGAGCCGAAATCCTGGGTACGCCACTGCTGCATATATATGGGAGATTATCTGATCTTGATTGCGTGTTCTATGTGGAGGCTTTTCACTTTTTTTTACTTTGATTTCATTATTTATTTTCGTACTCTTTGGCCCATTGCACTAGTTTCTCTTTAAGCTATGCTGCATGCTGTGATTTTCTCCAGCATAACAATCTTTTGTCCATTATTCGCGCCCATGAGGCTCAGGATGCGGGGTAAGCGGCCTACTATTTCACCTGTCATCTCTCCTAATCTCCCTCCTAGGTATCGAATGTACCGAAAATCGCAAGCGACGGGATTTCCTTCACTCATTACTATATTTAGTGCTCCAAATTATCTCGATGTATATAACAACAAAGGTGAGCATGCACTTTGTCACATTGAATTACAAAAAAATGTCTGTAGATTTGCGTGAGTAGTTATGTGATTAGTCGCGTCAGTAATCTGACTACTTTACGTTTATCAAGACGCATTCGTTTGCGACGAAAACTGGTCTTAGCTTTTTCGCAGATACTTCAAACATCATCATAATTTTTTAATGTCATTTTTGTTGATTTTTAGCGGCCATCCTGAAGTATGAGAACAATGTGATGAATATTCGGCAGTTCAACTGTAGTCCACATCCGTACTGGCTGCCAAATTTCATGGATGTTTTCACATGGTCATTACCATTTGTTGGTGAAAAAGGTTGACTTTTGTTTTTTCTTGCTACACCAATGAGATTCCATGGCACATTTACAGTCACGGAGATGCTCGTGCACATCTTGAATATATGTTCAGACGACGAGTTAATGGCCGAAGGAGACGATACGTTTGAAGGTGCGCTGAATCTTTCTTTTTTTTTGTTTTTGAACAGTTTTTGCATTTACTGCAGTTTACAATACTTCCCACACCTTTCTTAGTCTTTCTGCGATCGTTAAGGTTTCAGAAATTGTAATCTGTCCTCTTTTGTAGTGTGTGAGAGAAGTGCCGCCCTAGTCTGTTCAGTTAGACATGTATCGAGGTCTTTGCAATGGCATCTATTGTTTTCATTGAGAGTTTCTCTTGAAAGATGTGCTAAAAAATCAAGAAGATTTTCTGTTGTTCACATTCAGCTCTAAACATGTATTGATTTCTACGACCAACAGAAATTGTAATTGTAACCAAGTAGTATAACGGGGCAGTTTTGCTTGCCTTGCGTGGGCTGATGAACATCTCATCTATAAAACTAGTATAAATACTATATTTCTCTTTCCTTTATCTGTCCTACGTGTACGTGTTTTACCCTTCTTCTGTGACTGTGCCTATCTCGAGGCGGTCTTAGGTGTGCCAACGTTTTCCGTTTTGAGCATGCTTTTTGAGGAGTGCGTGTGCCAGAAAGCACCTACAACTATTCTGTAATCTCGTAATGATAGCGAGTATGTGATATGAACAGCAGTGTAGTATTTGAATTAGATGCTAGAATATATCGAGTTTTTCATGCTATCTGAGTTCACTTTTTGATTAAGAGCTTCATAGTTTGTAACCGTGTGAAGATTCTAGCAACAAATGGTGTTTTGTTTAGTGAGATTGCAACAGAATCGCCCACCTCAAAGTGGCATAGTTGATTTAGTGATTTTTTGTAAAAGTAGCATTGTTCAGCTGAATTTCAATCCATTGAAGGTTTGGCCGAAACCGACATTTTGTCATTGAAATTCGCTAGAAATTTGAGCGCCATCTCTGCATTTCCTACCCCTATTTTCTTTATAATGAATGGCTAACAGTGTTTTCTAATATAATGCGTTCGTGTCACTGTCTCTTAAGCGACACAAAAATCTGAAGTAACCATCAATTATAACATCATTACATCTCCAATCACATACAATTATGGTGGAATCTGAACCACATACCCCATCTAATTTCATTATTTTCATGCTATCTCAGGCGGCGACGGTAAGTAACTACTTTTTATGGCAATAAGTTACCAAGCGGTAGCTGGTCACGAGCAGAAAAATGCGATACGCGCCCAGCTATCGCCTTGGCTAGTGTGGGCTAACTCAAGCTTGTGTGCGGTGCTATATTAACTCAGCATGTGTGATTTCCATGTAACCTGATGGTTTTGAGTGGTTCTTCCAAGATTGGCAAGAACTTTGGCAGTCTACCAGATTGTGGCGTAATGTGTGATGTGGACATCGAATGAATGGCTTTTACTCAAAATAGATCGCGAGGTCTTCTCTTGTTCGTTTGTTTCGAAGAAGTTTTTTTGTTGCGGTTCTATCGTTACATAATCAATCTCTACTATATTTTCCAGTTCACGAGTGCAACAATATTAGGTAATGTAGATGAGTATTCCCTCTGGTGTATAATACTAAATAACTGCATATCTTTAGATCGGTAGTCATTGTACATAAATATGGATTAATCATGATTTTTCAAGAAAACTACGTTTTTGACCAAATTATCTGATAAATGTGACTACTTCTGATCGAGTCATTCAACAATACAAACTTAAGTTCCGATGAAAAACATTTTTGTTATACAAGAAATTCTCTGTTGCACTTGAGAACTGTTGAGTGGTGTTTCTTTTCTTCAAGACGAGAATAACCAGCGAAGTGAAGCACTGCAAACTTTCTCACTATGCATGATAACTGGCGACAAGCATGCTGTTTATCCGTACGTCCAATGTAATCGTCGTTCTTCGCCGACCGCCGTTTGATCACTGCTGCAAAGCAGTGCTGGATAGCAGGAAAACACGGTGCAGAGGCAGCTGCGGTGGCGTGCTCGTCAGCGCAGCCCCGTCTACACTTTTTTTTCAAATATACCTGTAGAACTAACTGTACAACACATTGAGCCATTCATTCGTCGCTCCCCATCTCCCTTTGCCGACCTTTCCAATTAGCTGTCAATTTTATGATTTACATTGGATCAACACGTTGTTCCTGCCACCTACACACTTTGACAGTACACCGCTTTCGTGGCCACCGTCCAGTCTCGCCTTCCATATATTTATAGCCGCATAAGTAGTGCTAGTGGTTTTCATTTTTCTTTCGATTTTTAGTCTATCCATGTATTCAGTTGGTCGGAATTCGTAGTTAACTGCAGTGTTTTCTGATTTTATTTTGATGCCAGTTAGCCAGTCTATTCTATTCCTCAAAACAACCTCGGTTCATCGTCGAGTTCGTGCCGGTTTCGTGGTACCACTTAGTTTGTTTTCTGGTTTTTTTTCCAAAGGTTATCCCCCGGTGTGTGTATCAAAACACAGCACTATCCTGGGTATGATTGCAATTCGGAAATCAAGCGTTATGTCAGCAGTTGATTTTGGTGGAGCTAAATGCAAACTTTTCGATAGCAACGATACCAACTTTATCCCATGAGATTTGTGCTGTTGTAGCCAATAGGAACCAATAAAAGAACTTTTGGACGTGAACGACGAGAATATCGAGATGCGATTAGCTTTAGTGCGATGGCTAGAAGATGAGCGCTTGCTTGCATTGCATGAAAATTACACGTATAGAATGCATGGCTTACAGATGGTAGAGAGGCTGTTTTTTGGCGCAAAAATAGCATTTGCAAGTTTTCGTCGTTCTGATGTCTTTCGTCGAGATCACGAGAAGCCACCCGCGTTTATTTCTTCCTAGTTTGAGCTTTGAGTACCGCCAATGGAGATTTCCTAATTGCTCTGATGTAACGCTTGAGATCTGTTATGCATTTGACTGTCCTTAGAAACACGCACGTCAGCTGAACCGAGGTTGGAGGGCGATTAAGATCAATGCGCATTTGTGCTGTTTCAGGTGGTGTACCGTCAGCTCGAAAAGAAGTAATACGGCACAAAATTCGTGCTATAGGAAAGATGGCGCGTGCTTTCTCTGTGCTCAGGTATGTCTTTTCCTAATTTGTGCCATTTTTTATGAGTTAAGTGTGAGATTCTGACATTATGTTATTACATTATCAACCAGTGTGCTTTTTTTCTTGTTGAACTTTCATTCAACCTTGCATAGTGTGTGCCTAGTCAAGGCCTAATCTTTCATATTTCAAGCTAACTTTTCTTTATCGCTACGCTAGGTTCGAAATGAACCTTTATGAGTGTTCAGAGGCTTGTGTTTGTTTCAAGCAGTGTGCATAATTTCGTAGTCGCAGCTATTTGATATCACTGTTATACCATACCCTCGTGTTGAGTGACAATCTTTCTTATAACCTTTGAAATTGCCACTAAAATCAGTCATCAGAGAAGCTCTTGTGTATCCTAAATGTTCTAATTGCGTGTAGCATGTATTCAAGTCAGTTTTTAGAGAAGAAAGCGAGACGGTGTTGGCGCTCAAAGGCCTCACACCTACGGGCACACTTCCGCTGGGCATACTGCACGAGGGCAGACGCGGAGTGCAAGAGGGTAGGTGCTTCTAAATCGTGGTCGCCATCCATCTACACCACTCCGACAAGCGCCTGACCTCGATCGGCATCTGATTCTGGGACACAGGCGCCCACGTTTTCATCCTCTCGACATTCTAACCAACCATGTCAACTCATTTACCTTTCTGGGGTGTGCTGCGCCTTTCCGCTCTGGTGTGATAAACAACAACATCAACAACAGTACTGTTATGCACGCTGTTCTTATTAATTAAACAAATTAACATTGTGCACTGCTGTGTGTTTGGCAGTCTTTTTTGCTGATTTTCTGGAGAAAACCGTGGCCAAAATAAGGTAGTATGTTTTGAAGACACGAGAGCGAGACGGTGCTGCAGCTCAAGGGCTTGAATCCAGGCGGAAAACTCCCGCAAGGTGTCCTGTCTGGAGGGAAATCGGCGCTTGTCGAGAGTAGGTTGATCTTCAGTTATAAGACGTATCAAATATAAGCTGATATACCTTTTTCGTTGAAAAATTTTGAGTTTATTGCAAAAACTTTTTTGGTGAAGTAATACTGCTTGCGATGGTCATAGATCATTAAATCGGACGCAGCTTGAAGCATTCTTCACTCCGTTATCTTTGCAAGAACTGTTAGGGATAGAGGACTTTATGTCGGCGAATGGGGAAGTCTCGCGTGGACTTCTGCAACAAATACGCACCTCTTATACATGCAGGTGCGCGCTTGTTATAGATGGCGGCGGGACCTCCCTCTTCGGCTACATAAAGTCCTCTTCTCAATCGCTAGTCTTCAATAGATCAACCCGAACCGTATTATCAGATGTGGTGATTGCTATACCGCAATCACTTCGATACGTACTAGTAAAAATGCTCAACTGGAGGAGCTTCCTTTCATTTGCGAAAGGGATTTTTTTATTTGAGATGAACGTTAATCTGATTTCAATTTTTTTTTCAGCCTTATCAGGAGTGCAACCTGGTCATCGTATCCAGTCATTTGCCGAAGCGAAACGGTTGGATCAAATGAACGAGCGTATGCCGCCGTCAATGGCTACGCCACCGCCTGGCCAGTCACCGTCATCGTCACCGCAGCCACGTGCGCGTAACGGACCGGATGCGTAAGCAATGCAATGTCCGTGCACAAATGTATTCCTCCAACTCCGTCTACTGTTCTCCATCGCCTTGTCATGCCATACACCACACCTTACATACAGATTCATACACAAGAGATACACGCAGAGTTTCTTTTACCAACACAACATCTCTTCAATCGTCTACGTCTAACTCTCTCGTCGTTGGTGACATATCTACATATCGAACTAGTCCGTAGTGTGCGCATGACGTTTTCGCTTCGTCTAGTCTTATTGCAATTTTTAAAATCTCTTCAGATGTTCTGAGTGAACCACGTGTACTGTAGAATTCGCAGTGAACGCACCGCATGTGTCTGTTTATCGAGTTTATTCTAGAGATTGAGAGCAGGCGTATATCCTATACCATTGTCTTGAGTCAGATTATAAGGTCCCTTTTCTTATAAAAATACCCTCTTACAAATCTTGCTTGCCTGATATACAGATACAGACGTACTAGTGGTCGAACATATACCCTATTTAGCCTCAAACTGCTCTATGAATCATCGACGATTTCTTGCGCACGCCGTCAGACTCGCTGCTACCATAGGTTTAGTGCGAATAGCGTTTGATTACTCGAATATTTGGCTGAAGTGTTCTCATCAGTGACTCACATGCAACACTTTCACCCACAGTGCAGAGCAGCAAAAGGTGTGACTCCTATATTCTAGCCGTACGTACAGCTTATGGGGATTGACAAGTCGTCGCTTTGCTTGTTGCTCTTCATCTCTTCCGGTGTACAAGAAGTTCAGTTTATCGTTGAGGCTGTGTCTGTGCTTTTTCCTCTTTGGATTTTGTGTGCAACATGCTCCATAGGTCAGGAAGTTTTTGAGGAGTTCCACTGAGCAGATCAATGGTGGGGTTTTTGGGTTAGGAAGATGCAGTTCTTATCGTTGGAATTGAGACTTTAGTTCTAGAATTATCACCATTGACTGTAAATAATCTAGAGCGAGTACCTAGGTGAAAAGGTATTCAACAGGATTGTTGTCGTTGCGATCACAGTTTATACTTTTTCGGATTACTGACTCATTTGCCCCCTTCCCCTCCCCTCCCCCTACTACACGCATTTTTGCTTCTCAGAGTTCTTCCTTCATGAGTTCAAAAGCTATTTGTATGCTTTGCATTCTCCTTCTTTTACCTATCCCAGCATTGTTCTCTTGTTTATACCTTTCTTTCGCACTGCTTTGGCTTCGTCACATAGAAAAAAACTACAAGACACCTTTCCATGCGTTGCTCATTGTGCTCTTGAAATAGTCGAATTATGTTTGTCCCCCTACGTTCCCCAATCAGCTAAACCTTCCTCCTTACTACAATCGCGTTCCGCAACCCCCGCAATCAGTCGCACATCACAATCTACCCATGACGACAATCCCTTCGTTTGATGATTTCCGAAATATTATTTATGTCCTCATTTTTTGTTATATACTTTTTCATTTGTAATTCTGTGTTGCAGAAGTCTTTTATTTATATAAAACTATTTCTTTGTAATAACTTCGTCATGTTGTTTATGTCATTAAAGAATGGATCTTTTTTGAATCGTTTGGAAGTGTACTGCACAGTGAAATGGATCATTCAAAGCTATTGGAGGTTTTGCGTCACGGAGCATTTAGCTGCTCGAAGTTGTGATGCAAGGGAACGAGGATAAATAGCACTAATTCCCTACCACTTTGTCTGGAGATAGCTTATAGATTAAAATTTGTTACATAGCGTGATCCAGGTGACAAATGTACAAGTTTTATTCGATGCTTGTAATGTGCATATCGTTATGGTTATGTGTTTGTATGTAGTAGGGTGGGCTGGAAGGAAGCGCTTCATGTGAGACTTTAGTTGCCCATGGTAATGAGTCAAAATAGGCGGAACTAGCATCCGCACCGTTATTGAATATATGCCGTTGAAATTTGCAGTTTTGCTGAAAAAAATAAAGCAGTGGATACCAGAGACACCATCCCTTAATGTTGAGTGTGGTAAGACTTTGATGCCATGTAATAACGGGGATAATAATGGTGAGTTTTTGCCCAAGTGCTGCTGCAAAGCTAAATTTCAAAGCGAAAAATTACTTCAGAAAATTAAGGGCTGGTGACGCCGTCCATGAACCTGGGTAGTCTAAAGCGCTGTTGCGTTAGGTGACAGGCTCTGATACTCTCTGTTTTCCGGCACCTGTATGACCCCATTACCTGCTGTTCAGATAAAGAGTCAAGGAAAAACGGCAGAATCGAGCCCAGGTAATGAATAGGGTCACGCAAGAGGTGTGGCACACTATGGATCGCTAGATACGACGTTTCCCCTCTATTTGCTGTCTCAATAAGAACCCCTTGAACTATTGCAGGGGGTTCTTATTGAGACAGCAAGACAGACAGCATACCTAGGATAGCATAACTTGAAGGCTTTACCAGGCATAATGAGTAATATCTAAAATTACATTGTCAAGCAACCCCTGTGGCCCAAGTTTGAGCGAGTTCTGAAGTTCCTGAATACTGGCCTACTTGAGTGAAATGGTCATTTTCGAACAAGATCAATTTTCTTACAAAGCTGAATTAGCTACTTATTTTTGCTCTCAATGGACACCACCTCCTTCTTTGTCCACCTCATCAATCCCGCTTCAAAAGACATTCAAACTATGGAATTAAAGCCAACTATAATCTTGTTATTCCCATTTTTCGCTTTTAATGGCTGTGCTTTCACCAAAACTAAGTTTCAACTTAGTTTGGAGTCCGCTTTGCAACGATTCGCGCCGCTTTGCAGTCTGCGTCTCTTCATTCTAATCTATCTTGCTGAGCCAGTGGCGGCGCGGACGCACTGCTCCACTTGAAATGTTCCAGCTATTCTGGGTTGAAAAAGACTGTATAACTCAGAACAAAGAAGAAGATTCAGGTTCAAATCACTTTCATGTGAACTTTGAAATTTAGCTATCGATTCATATGAATTACGTTCATTAAAAACTTTGTGACATAGTTAATGGGGTATGACACCAAAAAGTATGGCAGTCACAGCATTTTTTGGGTTGTGTCGCACTATTAACTATGTCACAGGAACATTTTTGATGAACAATATTTATTGAACAGATAGCCTAATTCTCGTAGTTTACATAAAAGTGATTTGAGCTTGATTTGTCTTCTTTGCTCTGAGTTATGTAGTCTTCAACCCGGAATAGCCGAAACATTCCAAGTGGAGCAGCGCGTCCGCACCGCCACTGGCTCAGCGAGATAGATTAGAATGTAGAGACGCAGACTGCAAAGCGGCGCGAATCGTTGCGAAGCGGACTTGCACCAGTCCAATTTCCGCCCAAACCAATTTGAAACTTACAAGGAAAGGAAGGTTGGTCGAAGTGGCCTTTTGAAATGAGATGTGTACTGCCTTGTAGAGCTTGAAATCCTGACTCCAAATCTGCCTTCGCTATCTCCTGCGGGCCTCTGGGCGAGGAGTTATGAAGCTTTTAAGTGAGTAAAAATCTGAATGCAAGAGTAGGTTAAAATCAGTCGCAACATTTTTATAGGGATTAATTGGTAGTCAGGTTACTCGGTGCAACAAATAATCTTGATTCAAATGTACCAACTCGCTGCTGCCTCATTTGAACGTTGGGAAAAGATTACGACTGATTTTACCCTATTCTTGCATTCAGATTTTTACTCACAAAAACCTCAATAACTCCTCGCCCAGAAGCCCACAGCAGATAGCAAAGGTAGGTTTGGAATCAGCGTCCCAAGCTCTACAAAACAGTCTACATCTCATCTCAAAAGGCCACTTCGACCAACCTTCCTTCCCTTGTTAGTTTGGTGAAAGCCATCAAAAGCGAAAAATGGAAAAAACGGGATTATGTTTGCTCAGGGACTCGCCCGTGCGGGCGGCCAGCGACGACTTTACAAACGCTCGTTGGTGTGTGCGATTGTGCGGTCTTCAAGTGCTGATCGTACGGGTATGGTGTGGTGCACGTACGGTACTATCGCTAGCCGCTTGAGCGGGGAAGGTGGGCCTCTCGCTCGCTGTTGGGGTAACGAGTTACCTTGATAATTCTTTTTAGTATGCTTTTCTTTACATCCGGGAACGTGGATCGTGCAGCATTGACCCAACAATTTATGTTGGTAGTCTACACTTACACTTCTGACCATGCATAAACTCATAAACCTTCCTCGAGCTTCTGGTTAATGAAGATCGCACTTTTTCAACCCGAAATAGCCGAAGCATTCTACAGTCTGCCCCAATCCTAACCAGGCCAAAACTGGCATGGCGGGAGTCCGCGCTGCGAGGGTTTCGCGCCACATCTGCGGCTAGCTAGTCTGCTCTCTCCTCGATCTCTTCACTCTCTGCGACAGCGCGCGTATGCAGCGCAAACCCCTAGCGCTGCGAGCGCGCAAATTCAGCCGACGGTTCGGCCTGATCCCGATTGGGGCAGACTGTAAGTGGAGCAGCGTCCGGAATGCCACTGGCTCAGCGAGATAGATTGGAATGTAGAGACGCAGACTGCAAAGCGGCGCGAATCGTTGCAAAGCGGACTCTCGTCAGCCCAACTTCCGCCTAAACTAAGTTGAAATTTGGGTTTGGTGAAAGCACAGCTAAAAGCTAAAATTGGGAATAACGAGATTATGGTTGGCTTCTAATTCCATAATATGAATGTCTTTTGGAGTGGGTCTGAGGTGGACAAAGATGGAAGTGGTGTCTATTTGCAAAAAGAACTAGCTAATTCACCGTTGCAACAAAGTCAATCATGTTTGAAAATAACTATTTCACTCAGGTAGCCCAGTATTTCGAAACTTCGGAATTTGCTCGAACTTGGTCCGCAGCGGTTACTTGACATGCTGTGAATATATTACTCGTTCTGCTTAGTAGGGCCTTTTTATCATGCTACGGTAGGTATACGATGACAGCTCAATATCTCATGTATTTGTATTATCTCGCACATTACCCGACAAAATGCACGAATATAAACGTGCTTGTCATTATGAGGCGGACTTTCGAAATACTTATACAGTGAGTTTCATAACTATACGACACCCTCCGAAATTTTAGATTTCCGATTTGCAGAAGAGATCAGTACTCCAGTCAATGCCTGTATGATCTACTGTGATACTTGATAAAATGACATCTCAATCAATATGTCTACTCTCTTGCTTTCCTACATGCAGAAACATGTCTATGCTTCCAGTCTTTATTCTTCCACTATTTCATAGCTATACAACACCTTTAAGCAAGGTACTTTTTCCTAGGAAAAGAAAACGCCAAACGGGATTTTTATGACTAATCGGGCCACCGTGCCTTTTGACCACTTCATGAAGTCTATGAAATTCTTCTGACAAATGCATGCATGTGTTCGGTTCAGTGCTGTCACATGATTCCACAACGAACTGCTTCAACTTTTCCAATGTGCCTCACTGTTTGTAACTGCTTTGAAATGCTGTACCCGTAATCTCCAGAGATTTTCTGAAGGATCTGAGACAAGACAGTGTGGTCATCTTTACAAAAGCTGCTCGCGATGCTGGAGGAGAACGGCGGTAAGTGACCGCGTGCATGCTCACATGCGTCGTGCGCTGCGAAACGTAGTGCTCTTACAGACGCTTTGTTAAGAAGGTGACAGAAAGAATGAGCCAAATGATTTGGTGGTGTAATCTAATCAAAAAAATTTAGTTTAAATGACTATGACGGCTACAGGGACCGACTGGCCCGATGTAAGCAAAGTCCATCATTTTAGCAAGAGATGCTTTAGTGGAGGTTCCTCCATAACCTGGGAGCATTTTGCATGGGTCAAAGCCTAAATTTCGACAAGAAAATTATGCGCGCAGATTGCCAAGAAGTACTGTAGCGAAAGCTAACTGTTCTCCTTCCACAAGCGCCGGACACGCTTTTCGAAGCACGACAACAACCATACTGCCTTGTCTTCACATGCACACGGGTCACTTTCCACCCTTCTCCGCCAGCATCGCGGAAAAGTTGGAGCAGTTCATTATAGACGCATGTGACAACACTGAACTGAAGACATGCATGAATTTGTCACAACATTTCCAATGGACTTGATGAGAGGAAAGCCCGATGGCCCGATTAGTCGTAAAAATCCCGTTTTGCGTTTTCTTTCCCTTGGAAAAATTACCTTGCTCAAAGTTGTCGTATAGTTATGGAACAGTGGAAGAACAGACATGCCTTTACATGTAGCAAAACAAGCGAGTAGACATATTGATTGAGATGTCATTTTATTCAATAACATATGATCATATAGGCTGGAGTACTCGATCTCTTCTGTAATGCCGGAAATCCCGAATTTCAGGGGGTGTGGCATAGCTATGAAAAGCACTGTATATCAGGTTGCAACATTAGTCTTGCACCAAATTAGATAAAAAGCGCAATAACTCATATTTTTCCCATATTCCAAATAAAATCTGATACATCATTTGTTAGAAGCTAGCGTTACAAAAGAGTGTTCAAAGGTTGGCACCAACCATACCTTCGGTACATAGAGTACCCTGACTTATCGGAACGAATGTGAATGAAGCAAATGTAGGAAAGAATATCTTTAGATTATCTCAGCGAAATCGAGAATTTGCGTTTTATAGCCTTTTTTACGCTAAAAAGAAGGTTTCCGTGAAAGTTTCCCCAGAATTCAGGACAACATTTCTCACTTAACCTCCTATTTGACCAAAATTGAGTTTCAGAAGTTTAGGAAAGCTGTTGGAGTTGAATTGAAACGAGAAACTGCTTAAATGTTGCGTAGAGAGTCGCGCACGAAAATGCTGGTCTATCTCGTTAATGAGGATCTTTAGAGCTTGCGATGTTGTCAGTGCTCCTCGTCGTGTCATGGCAATCAGAATGATATATAATGTTGCAGGGTTTCGTTGAGACCCCGCGGAGAACTACGACCAGAGCCAAATGCCCCGTCTGCTCTGGTCTGCCTCCGCTGCTCGTCTTCTCTCCGCGCACTGCGCACCACCTCGCTACCCTAAACGCGGGGCGCTGAGCATTTGGCTCTGATACCATTTTCATCGTTGTTTCGAACCCCAATCTTAGCAAGCTATAAACCATATTGAAGCATTTTATCTCTACTTTCATGGTGAGAACGACGGCCCGAGGCTACATTTTTTTTCACTTGAACGAGAAATTTGGCAAAAACTTTGTTTTCGAAAAGCTCTTCTTTTTCACCTAGTTTAATTGTTTGCACGCGGTTTTTTTCGTGCATTCCACAGATCTTGCTTTTGCTCATAATGCAGACAACGACCCAGTGTTTATCTCTTCCATTATGGAATTTTTTGTGAAAAATCGTAAACAGTGCATTTTTGTTTACCTTATTCTGTTTCAGTGCTTTCGAGGCAATTTGTTTCCAGCTTGGGCGAGATTAGAACAATAAGCGCAACAGTTCAGCCAAAGTCCCAGGAAATAGGAACGCCCATGCGGGGGAAAAAATTCAAAAGACGCATAAAAAAATTAATTTGGGTTTGACGTGCATTTCGACTTATGAGGAAAGCTATCCAACTTAGCTCGGCCTTTTGGCAAGGGACATATATATTCTGGATCAGCTTTGAACGCTGATTTCATGGCATTCCTAGTTGCCGAGCACCATTCTGAAGCGAGTTATGCTTTTTTTCCTGCGCAAAATTGGCATACTACTGAACATGGGAAGACTACCTGCAAATAAAAATCTGCAAGAAAAAGGTGCTGAGATATCGAGATAACACAAATCCAATTCTCACTAAAAAGAGGCAAAACGCAAGTGTATCAGCGCTTAGATGATGATGCCGATGTATCAGCGCTTAGATGATGATGCCAGTGAATGGATGACTATGCTAATTTTGCGCAGGAAAAAGCCCATAACCCACTTCGGAATGGTGCTCGGCAGCTAAGAGTAGCATATTTGGAATCAGCTTTTGAAGCTGTTTCACAATATATATATATTACTTGTCAAAAGGCCGAGCTAAGTTGAGTAGCATCCCTGTTTAGTGAAAACAGAATTTTGCGTTTTCATAAGTAATTCTTCCCTTGTTCATCTTCTTCTTGATAGCACGACTTCCGAAACCTGGCTGTTTTGAAACAATCACAAAAAAGAAATTGGCTCTTCCTCGTTTTCCCCCGTGTTGCGAGTTGCTGGTCACGGAGCGAAAATCTGTACTTCAAAAAGCCGCCAAATCGAAGATGTCGAACCTCATTGCTTTTTACCCTGTTTTCAGCAGTCTTTTTGCTTTTTGTATCTGTTTTGCGTCTTTTTTCTTCTCTGATCTTCTATAAACAACCTTCAATTTTTATGAGGGCGATCTTTAAACAACATTTACTTTTGACGCCCTGTCTTAGATTATCGAATGCATGGCACCGACTCCAAGGTACACGAAGTTTGAAGCCAAAAACTAAAAAAAGTCGTGCGTCCAAAGCCTGAGAAAATTTTTAAAAATCCGCAACTTCCCTCAAAGAAATATTATGAAAACTCTTACTTGCTCATGCATAAACATTCTATACATTTATCTATGTAGTTGTTCTTCTTCTTCCGGCTAGCAATCGAGAAAGCAAAGACCTTCATGTTCTTGTCAAGTTCATGCTGAGTCTTACACTAGCGGTTGTATACCACAAGCCCCTAGAACTACAACCGTAGGTTTCTTAGCCTTTTACAGCAGCTGGTTTCGGAGAAATAACGAAATTTGCTTTGAAAACTCGAATGAGAGCTAGTTAACCCTAGCATTGATTTGGCGAAAGTAAGGGAATTGTCCTTTTGTTTAATACAAGCCAAGAATTGTCATATTAATGCCTGGTGCAAAGAGTATATACTCTGAGCAAGTTGCAGGTTCGCAGCATTCTTTTAAATAAAGCTGTGATCTTTTTTCCGTTTTTCGGGTAACTGGATCTTCTTAGTTTTGGCTGCAAACTTCGCGTAGATAAAGTTGCAAACCTTTCAAATGGCATCGAATCCATCTGGGATTGGGAGATAAATGAGTTATCGGAGAGCATATTTGTTTTGGTGCAATACTTATGTTCCAACCTAAGACATTGTTGTCCAATCTTTCCCATTATCTTTAGATCACCTATGTTGATGAGCGATGTTACTATTGCCGCTTGTACCATGTAGAGCGATGATCTTCATCTTTGCTCTGTGAGTGCTATTGGTTCTGCGCTATTGCACTGCATCAAAATCTCACTACATTTTGGATGGGGTTCTTGTCAGCATTCCGCGAGCTGCACACTCGGATGCTGTGTAAACTCAACCTCTTCGTTCACTCTTCTGTTCATGCGTCTTATCAGCACAAGCAATAGAAAACTGAAGAATGGATATAGCAAGCATGCTGTAAATATGTGGCAGTTTTGCTAAGCTTTCATTTATAATTTTAGCGGGAACTCACCATTAATCAAAGAGAGATAGACAGCTTTGCTGAATAAGTAGTTGAAAAATATGACGAGACACATGAAAAAACAACAAATTGATGTGAATATGCAGTTCACGTAGCAAAATGGAATAACAATTGCAATGGTCCTGAAAGTTGAAAGCATAATATCACATAAATGCCGACCATTTCATTTCATATCTGCAACCATGATATTCTGTAATACAAATTGAGATGCATTGAGCAGGACTCGGTAGAGCTCTGGAACCGGGAACTTCTTGAAACGAAGTCTCCATTTGATTTCGCAAATTTACGAGATTCCCTTTGAACTGTTTACAGCCCCTCACCACTCCTTGTGTATTTGTATCCGCTATGTTGCTCCTCCCTAGAAGAAATGGTAAAAAACTAAAAACTCTTTTTTGCTTTTTTTTGCTTCATGGTGGATACCTGCAACCCACCGGTCTACCACTCGTCTCTCCCTCCTCCCTTATCCTCCACCCTTCACCCTTCCTCTCTCTCTCGTTACTCCTTCCTTCTCCCGCTTCCCCTTCCTCTCCTTTGTGAAAATGAAGAAATTGAAAGAGAAAGGCAAGGTAATGAACAGCACGACTGTTCTGTGTAATGTCACACTTTCGCTTTGGGGCCGTCGGAGCAGGATTGGCTCCAACGAATTATTCTCAAGACTACAGAATAACGAAAGGAAGGTGTACGAAGCCGTTTTGTTCTAGTTTGAAAAGCTGCATGCAGATACATTTGATTAATGGGGAATCATGAATAATTGTGTGAGTAAAAGTCGGGCCTAGCGTAGCTGGTACCCAGTTTGAATGGTTGTAGCCAATTCAGGAGAGGTTGTTCATGGCTTTTATTCACAGAAAATTTTCATAAAAATTCCGGCCATGGTTCCATTCCTTTCGCGCGTGTGCACACAAATTTGGTATGATATCGATGCGATTTGGTTGTAACACGCTATTCCGGATTTGTTGAAAAGCGTCGAGGATGTCTACGTCATCATTTCATAACTTAAACTTCGATTCTAACAGGGGAAGGATCCTTAGTCGAAGTGGCCTTTTCAGAAAAGACGTTGATACATACTTCCTTGACGGACGTTGATCGCTGATTGTAATGTCTTTCTTATCCGCGGAGCGCCTTTGGACAAGAAGTTATGAGAGTTTCTGTAGCGAAATTTTGAGTTGCGTAGCTAAGAAAGTCATTTGTGAAAGACTCTTGTGAACTTAAATGGAACATCGTGACCGTTAAACCTTTCTATGAGGAGAAGTGTTCCTGCTTGTTACCTCAGTGCTTGCCGTAAATCCATCTGCAGCTGAAAAGGCTGTCAACATTGGTTTACTCTGAACAAACGTTCAGTTTTTTGACCCATAAAACGCTCGTAACTTATACCCAGAGGCGTTCCGCAGATAAGGGAAACAGATTTGGCAATAGCGTTCACTGTCCAAACTATATGCATCTAAGCTGTAAGGCCACTTCGATCAGGTATACTTTCCGTAAGTACCTCTCTTCAATTCTCTCCCGGGCTCCGTCTTAAATCCCGCAAAAATGATATCCCCTTTGCTTCCCCAAATACGATAACAGTGTGACCCGCTCAAAGCTGTGTCGAACCCAGTGTAGTAATAAAGAACTGAGATTACTGTGGTGCGGTTTTCTACCTAAGATTTTCGCCGGCATTGTAGTGCAACTTGAGATCGGGTCGTAGTCGTAGCTTTGCCGTTCTTACCTAAAAAAAATTGTCTTATAAAAGTCACCTGCACTCGACGCATTCCAGCATAAGAGATCTCCTGATGTCTGTACCTGATTTACATGTTTCAACACTTTTAAAATAATTACGGCAAGTATCTGTAGCGCGATGAGGATACTGAAAGGGCCGATTGACCAGAAAGGGTTTTTAACCGATGTTATATGACAGTAAAGCAGCTTTCGATTTCGTCCACCAAATTGAGAAACAGAATACATGACTGCAAAAAGAGCTGTAGTTATGGCAGTCTGTAAACAATTATTTGAGAGCGTAAGTAGTTCCTGAAAGAATTAAAGTAAACCTGTAATATCAATAGCAAAAATCCTGCAGATCTGTTATTTTCATAGCTTTTTGCCATGAGTGTAGAGATGATCCGCTCGAGCGCAACAATGAAGGTCGACCTAAATTTCTTTGCTGTCTACTTGTCACATCAAATTGTTGATCTAGTTTTTTTTGAAGAATTTTGCACTCTAAAAGTATCTCGCAAGTTCATTTTGATTTCATATCTTCATGCACGAATTTCCAAAAAGGAATATTAACTTACGAGCATATGAATAGCATGGAGAAATTTAGCGGCATACGCATAGAGAGACATCGAGTTGGCGTTGGAAATACAGCGCTGCAGTTCATTCCTTGGGCATACATTATATAGTTAGCCAAATCCGTGCTATGCAGTACAATCCTAAATATTCTCTTAATGAAAGCTTGTAGCGCAAATTTTTTATAGAGGAAATAGATGTTTCTTTCCGACTTATCTGAAGCTCGGGAAGGCAAAGTATTGGCTTGTTTGTTGATCACTTTCGTTTTTCTTTCTACCTGCTGAGGCGACGTCAGCCTACGCGGTGTAGCTCACGTTACCAGCGAGTTCGCCATACATTCTCGCTCGCATGCAACGCTGTCAAGCTGTCTTTGAGATGCCCACCATGAAGATTTGGTACGAAGGTTCTCAGTTTTATTTTGGTTATTTCGATCCTTCACAAAACGTTATGTATTTCAGATCCACGCTCTAGGAGAATGAGGTGGGTGAAAAGTAACGGCTCATTTCTCGACGTTAACCTCTTGCCATCAAGAATATGCTTGCTTTGACCTAACCCTAGTGATGCCTTCCTAAGTTTTCTTATCAATAAATAGCTTTTCCGCAATTATGAGAGCTTGTGTTTATTTTATGTGTATCGTGCACCTGGTGACCAGTGGAGAAGGCTTCGAGAACCTTAGTTCGTATGCAAGTCCTACCACAACTTCAAAAAATTATCGAGCATTGGAAGACAATAGAAAATATAGAGTTTGGAAGGGGCGGCCGAAGACTTTGCACAATGTTTGAGTCATCAAGACTGATGAGAAACCTGGGCAGCGTTATTTCGATGATGCCAAATAAAGAGGCCAGAGTCGGCAGCACAGCCGTCAGCGAAAGTGGTGCTCCCATGGAAGCAGGAAAGCAGCGAAAACTCACAGAAAGACTATGTTGTGTACATAGAGCGCTTTCCATTAACCTTGATTTACATTCCCATTGGAAATAATCGGAGAAACTCAATCACCCACTTGGACCAAATAAGTGATCGCCTGATGTGCCTCTCAGTTCTAACCGCTTATGCACCCACAATTAGGTTGCACGATGGAGGAAGATGTATTCTGGAATCAACTTGACGACTACACCAGCAGGCCAATACCAAAACTGATAATTACGGGCATGTCGGGCAACAACGATGCTGTGTAAGCAAATGTCACGAAAATCACGGGTACGGGACACGCAACGAAGAAGGAGAGCCAGGACTCCGCCACGGTGCATGAATGGACGCTAGAACATATAGTTTGTCAAGAAGACCATTCACTTCATCATGTACGCAGCGGAAAACAAGAATCACTTCTGAGCTGTGCGACAAAGCGAGCCCAAGTACATGAAGAGTAGCAAAGTCATTGTAGACTGCATAACGCAACATCCACCACTAATTTCGGATCTTAATACTCATTCGACAGGTAAAGAAGGACAACGGAGCACATAGCGCGCATCAATTGGTGGAAGCTCAAAGACAACGACCATATCAAAGCAGACATGGAATGTGCCCTACCAGAGTCAGAAGAAAAAACAGAAGGCTTGTGGAGAATCTAAGGGGCAACGTTCTTTGAATAGCAAGCAGTCTACTAGGAAGTACGAAGCCAGGAAGAATAGAGCTTGATAAGGAAATTTTATGGTGTAACGATGACTTGCATTTTATGGTCAAGAAAAAGAAGAAAGCGTACAGAACATTGCAGAAGTCAAAAACAGTGGTGGCACGGGAAAAGTATCTAATCACGAAGAGCGCAGCAAAAACAAGTGTCAAGGATGCGAAGGAAGCATATGTGGAGAAACTATAAAGAAACTGCATAGTCGCGAAGGTGAAAGGAGATCTATCGAATTGAAGAAATAGAGCAAACGCCTCGAAAGACGTGGAGCATTTCCCCATTAAATGTAGACGGCGGAGTTCTGAGAAGAGCAGAAGAGATAAACGAGGGTTTGGAAAGCACACTTTGTAGGGATGGCTCTACAAGCTGCGACTACTCATAAAACAGGACGCTTGTACAAAGACCACTAGCAACTATCAAGGAAGAAGTTGGAATCGCCACAAAACAAAAAAGGGCAAGGTGACAGGTTTAGGTGATGTCCCCGACGAGTTCCGGAAGAAGTGCTGTCATTCCGAGTTGCTCGACTGACACAAGTTCTGAATCAGATAGTAGAGACCAGGAAGATGCCACTTACGAAGATACCCATATGGAAAGATGAAGGCGATATAGCTAATCTCACGCGCCGGTCTTCGACTCATGAGCTACACAGGAGAGGACATTGGAGAGGAAGGGTACTAGAGGTGAGGCTGCAAAACATCATAGAATTGGCATCGAACCAATGTGTATGCGCGAAAGGTGCAGCACAACAGACGCTACCTACACTGTCAGAATGATGAGAGAAGCAGAGAAAAGCAATGTGGCCTTCATGCAGGGTTCCTCGGGGAAGGCGTTCGATAAGGTACCGCAGGACATTTTATGGTGGTTGCTACGATAGTCATGGTATCGGAAGAATTACAATGGGCGAAGATGGTCTACAAGAATTAACAAGATACGTGCTCAAGTAGATGGAAGATTGGAAGAACCTCAGATACATACACGTGTGCATCAAGGATCTAGAATCTAGACAGTCATGGATGCGATAATCAGAGTATTCAATGTAAAACACCAGACTTGTGATATAGGAACGTAGTTCCGAGGCAAGAAGCGGGAAGCTGCTAGAAGATGAGTACCTACATTGGAAAAGTGTGAAAATCAGTTGATGCAGCATGGCTTGAAATGCAACACATTAAAAATGGATTACATGTAGGTGTCTAAACTCCTGGAACTATCAGAATTCAAAAAAGGATGATTAAGGGGTTTAATACCTTCAAGTATCTAGGAAATCATATTTCCGCAGAGGGGAATCTTCACAAGTTACTCAATACGGTTAACGCAGCTTGGTCAAAGTGGAGAAGCTTCACCGCAGTTCTTTGCGACAGAAAGAATATCTCGAATTTCAGTTTTTTCAGATATATCGCAGAATAATCCGTCCAACTGCTTTCTGTGATAGTGATTGCTGGCCGTGCGCGCGCAATGATGAAAGTAAACTCGAGTGGAGTCATCATGCTAGACCTGTAGTGAACGGCATCATGAGAATAGCATTGAAGGTTGCTCTGATTGTCAAGAAAGTGCAAGAGAGGATGTGAGTAGGGGACAAGAAAGCCATATAAGGAGACTCGCCATGTCACTGTGTATAGTAAGTTCCAACTCGGTTTAGGCGGAAATTGGACTGGCGGGAGTCCGCTTCGCAACGATTCGCGCCGCTTTGCAGTGTGCGCCTCTTCATTCTAATCTATCTCGCTGAGCCAATGGCGGTGCGGACGGCTGCTACACTTGGAATGTTTCGCTTACTCCGGGTTGAAAAAGACTGTATCCGGAAAGTGGCCAAGAGGAACAAACTGAGGTAGAGGGACAAAAACAAGTCATACCTGGAAGAGCATGGAGTAGAAGGGAACCAAACATTAAATCGAGAAGAATTCAACAAGACTCACTAAATTGGTAGACCCCTATGAATCGAGAAAATTTATCGAGACTTACTAAAGTGGTAGACCCCTATGAAGGAAAGCAAGGATAAAAAACTCGATTTGACTGAAGGGAAAGTTGAGATGCAAGAAAATCACCAGTTTAGTCTGTTCGCTTTACATACTTAGCTTTTATCCAAATTCCTATGTTTTTCCTTAACACGACATGGGTTAAGACTTACGGCCGCCTCGCCTTGGGCAAGTTTGCGGTCGCACAGTTTGGGATGGCGTGGCAACAGATACACTGTGGATAGTTGCGTTGATTCGTCGAATTCTGCAGCATCTTGTAGGTTCTCGTTGGTTGCTTGAGCATAGACCAAGATTGGTACACTTTCTCGCAAGAAGGAGTGCAGGTTCGAATCCTGACGCATGAACCCGAAAACCTAGCGCGCAAGACACCAGACTCATTAAAGTGGTTCCGGTTGTTTTTTGGATAGATAAATCCAAAGATCAACCGGAAGGACGAGTGCGCCATTACTAACGAGCTGTCGCCATATCAGAGCCCCTGTGACTTTGCATAATAAGGTCAGAACCGAGTCACTAAATGACTATAAAAGTAAGGCAGTACAGCTTTTGACATAAGTGGTCTACACCCACTAGGGTGAGCACTGGCTTAATCTTGCGTTTTGGTTGAGGTGTCGTTTTCCTAGAAGGTTCTTTTCTGTAGTCGACGGGATGTTTGATCGGGTAGTTTACTTATGGTCTTCGACTTTTCAGGCTTTGAAGAAAGTACGCCGAAATGTTAGTCTGTATGCTATGCAGTGTGTATTCTGTGCGATGAAGTGTACCAAACTTGTTGGACGCTCAAGCAAGCAACCAGAATTTTACAACTACGTCCTGTATTTGTCGCCACGCCGCGCCAAAACTATGCGTCATCAAAGTAGTGGCGCAGGCTTGAAGCGAGGCTGCCGCACTAGCCTACATCTGTTGAAGAGGGACCTATGGAATGAGACAGAGGACATGAGAACTCAAAACAAATTTTACGAAATTGGCTGCGCGTTACACATTACTGGTATAGTAGCGTATGCGCATAGGTAGGTTTGAGCATTTTTTTCAAGTGTAAAATATGCTACCTGCCATTTTGTATTGAGGAACCGAAAAACGTTTCTAGTACAAAAAAGAAGTAGTTTTGAAAGGTACCAATGCTTTTCAGCCACCCTACAATGTGACCAAAGATCGGGATCCTTCCTATACTGGGTATTTTGCAGTTGATCATTCGTACTAAACTGATGCTTGATTCTTAGGAGGGCTGTGGAGGGCTTGCTCTCACTTGGTTGGAGTAGGCAAACCTCGACGGACACAGCAGGTGATGTGAATGACAACTTTTAGGGTATGCAACTACCAAATTTCTAGCATAGTGATTAGGAGACGATAATGAAGAAAAAAAGAATGGCAACCCCTCTAATTTGAGCGTTTGAACGGCCCAGCCCCTTGAAGGCAGTGCCTCGGAAAAATTGTAACTGCGC